ATCAGATTGCATAAGAAAAATATTCAGAAGAAGTTAGCACACTCTCACAAGTAACAAAATGAGGAAGCTTACATCATTCTCCAGCCAAACATGGCCATGGCGTCAATAACAAGTTTGAGTTTAAAATAAGAAACTTTTTGTCGGTTGTAGTAGTAAACTTTTATATATGTGTGTGTGTGTGTGTGTAGTGAAAAAAACAAAAGTAATCTGACCAAATATGTTTAAAAAACAAAATTAGTGAAAAGTAAACTTTTGCTTATTTTGTAGTTTATTATCAAAACATGCTACAATTGCAATCCTTGCACTTGAAATTGTGATAGCAACTCAAGTGATAATTGTCAGAGATTCTTTGACTCTTAGTCAACAAGCAAAAAGTATCTCCCATGTGTCTACATTTATATATTATCCTTCCTGTTTCTGATATAAGAGAATCAATATTCTACCATTACTAATTTTCACACAAGATGATTCAAGGGCACTCTTAGCCATACACCATTACACCTAGCTTGCATATTTCCAGTTCATGACTTTCCGTGTGTTCATTAGGTAAATCTAACCTGGCTTAGCATCTACAAATATTGTCACATCGTAGAAGATAGACAAAACATGTATAAAAATAGCATAACCAATATCAGCATTATATAAAGATTACTTAGCCAAGGATTGAAATTCATACCAGTACTTGATCAAGCCATCCCACCCACAGGTAGCAACTTTACTCTGTTCCAACGGATGCCATTCAGAACCTATACAAACTCCCTCATGGCACTTTAAAGTTCTAAAAACCTTGCAACTCTTCCAATCCCAAAACCAGCATCGTCCTTCACCATCTCCGGACATAACAAATCGCCCATCAGGCGAAAAATTAACCTGACAAGCATATCCCGCCACGATGTGCCCCGCAAACCTCTTCTTTTTGTTCAACTGAAATCTCTCTCTAGTACTGTATATAAGTATCTGATTATCCAAACTCTGACATGCAAGCCAGTTCGTATTGGGGTGCAAAGATATAGATGGCATTGAATGCATATGTGGCTCACTAATATACTTAATCACAACAGGAATCCCATACTCCCAGACACGTAATGACTTATCATCACTTGAAGTCACAAACCTCCGATTATTATCAACAAAAGTAATTGTATTCACTGCACCCAAATGCTGATCATACTCCTGTGTAATCTGCCCAGAATTCATATCCCACTGTACAATCTTTTTATCACTCATTCCCGCTAACAAGACATTCTGCTTATCCTCATCTGGATTGAGTCTCACTACATACGGAATCTTCCCAGTCGAAAAAGTTGATATAACTTGTCCAGTCTCTGTATCCCAATACTTTATGTTCTTATCATATCCTGCTGTCAAGAATTTACTTCCATCATTACAGAACCAAATATCCCTAACTGCCTTAGTATGCCCCATGTAAGTCCTCATACATTTTCCTGAATTAAACACATCCCATATCTTCACCTTTGAATCCATACCTGCAGACAATATCAAGTGACCAAACTTTGGGAAAAACCGAATAGCGGAAACGCCCTTGGTATGCCCACTCCATGTGTGAACCAATCTCTTCGGTATATAACAATGATCATTGCTAGCCTTGGCGTCCTTTGGAGGCTCAATCCACGACCTCCCTTGATAATCCCTCTCCTCTTTTCCATGAAAAGTACTCTTGTCAGCGTGGGCTTCACCTTTCTCTTTCTCGCCCCCTTCCTTCTCACCCTTTTTCTTCGCGTGCTCCTCAGCATATTTCTTCTGCTCCTCTGTCAGCTCCCCTTGCAGCCACTCTCTCTTACCTGCCCATGGACTCTTCCTATTCTTCGTCAACCATGCCTCAGTCGCCGGATTATCCACCTCCTCTGAATCCATCAGATCATTCCCCTCATTCTCCAGCTGCTCCAACGTCTCTTTCTTTTTCTCTAGTTTCCGCTTCTTCTGCTCATGTTGCGGTATATTATACACAGAAACACCATCATATTGCTTCAAAGCTTCAACATCCCCAACATAATTATTCTCAGTAGGGTCTGCCGCATACCCAAATTTATAAAAAGTGTTATACTGTTCATCAAACACAAACGGCTCAATAGCAGCATTCTCAACAAATCCAAGCTTATGATTACGGAGACCTTGCGCAAGCCCATCCTTGGCATAGGGATGAGCCGGGCCAACGACTGGGGCCCAAAGTTGGTCATACGTGGGGTTGAACGAAACAACATGCTGGGTCGGATTTAGGGGTTTTTTAGCTTCAGATTGTAACTTGCCAGCGACGGTAAGAGACAGCATAGTATCGTCTATTTTCGGAGCGGTGGACTTGGAGGGAAGGGAGATCCGAATTGGGGAGGAATCGGGCGACGGGTCCTGGTCTGATGTTGTTGTTGTTGCCGGTCGGGAATCTGATTGGCGTTCAACTTCATCATCTTCTTCTTCCATGTCCGGGTCTTTATACGATTGCAGCAAATCCATTTTCAGGGGTTAATCGGACGTAAGAAGGGAAAATAATAGGATACCGTGGCAACTCGCAATGGATTCTCAAATTAAAGATCCAATTCAGGGTACTGTAAGGTAGATCCACAACTAGAAATCCAATTAAGAAAAGGAAGAGTTTATTACTAGGATATTTGGAGATTGATGGAGATGGCGAAATTGAAGTGGAGAAGAAACAAGAAACAATGGGTAAAAACGCTAGAGACGTGTGGAAAATAGGATCTTGGGCCTTCGTGTTGCATATAGGTGGTACAAGTTTATGGGCTTACGGGCCTTACTGTTGTGGTGAAAAAAATTGAAAAAATACATGATTACAATTTTAAAAATAAGAAATTTGTGAAAAAAAATTGAAATATCATATAGTCATTGTGATTTACTAATTAATTAAACAAGATAATGTCAAAATAACACACAATTTATTGTCACAATCATATACTAATCACAGATTGCTAAATGTCACACTTAGAAAGCGTAAATTTACATGTAGAAACAACGTGAATGGAGATAGTACAGAGAGATTGAGCTTGAATAGATACAAGGCATATATTATAATTGATGGTGGATCAAAACCTATATAAATCCCAAGTATTCGTTGGGAACTCATTTTAGTACTTTATGAAAGTGAAATAGGGATTTGGACAGGACAATCGAAAATCGGTAGGTGAGAAATATCAGGTTCACGATCAAATGCAAATTGTAAAAGTGAATATTGATAATAGGCAGTTGGTCTTATACGAAGCAATGATGCAATATGTAATATGACATGACCACAAATAGAAGTTGAGAGTTTTGTTTTTATAAGTAATGATTTAGCAATAAGTTGTAAACGTTTAATAAACGACTCCGCTAAACCATTTTGTGTATAAACATGCACAACTGAATGTTCAATTACGATCTCAATTGACATACAATAAGACCATTTTGGAAAGAAAATGACAAGAGGTACAACACTCACTGTTACGTCGTGATGTACGACAAATTTCGGCCATTTGAGTTCGCTC